CAATCAATTTCGAAATTGTTTACTTTTGTTTAAAACATTTTTTGATGCAATTAATCGTTTCGAAAATGTTTCAATTTCTAGTCTTAGGTGACTCGCCCAATATAATGCGGGATAAAAATTGTTTGAAATGAAAAATAAAAATATTTGCAGAGATTATTTTCTATGGACTGTTACACATTGGTTAGTTTTGAATAATTATTAAGAATTTGGGATATGTATATTAAATTTCACAAGTTCATTTGTGTGTTTCAATTGTATAATTGATTATTACGAAATTATTCAGTATATAGTAATAATAATGACGTTATTATATATAATTGTATAATCAATTATTGAATTATAATTATTTTGAACTTGAAATAATTATTTAAAATTCTTCACCTTTGATCTCTTTTATCTTTGGAACATTCTTATCTTCGTCATTATAAGTAGGAGTAATAAATCTGTATAATTATTTTCCTATTTTCTATCCAGCATTAGTAATAAAAATAAAATTCATAAATATGAATGATATCAGAAATGATCCAACGATCCCATGAAAATTAAACAGCAAACTAAAATCGAAAATTCACTTAATACACGAAGAAAATATTATTTCAAACAATAAATAGTAAATGGTCTATCTCACTTTAAATCGTAGGAAAATAGCACATTTTATTCGTTGAAAAAAGTTTTAGAAATAATACTTGAAATTATTTTATTTGCAGAATACACTCAGGATAGTAAAATATCCTGAGTGTAAAATATTTAAATATTTAAATAAAATATTTAAATAAAATTTAAGTAAAATATTTAAATAAAATTAAGTAAAAAATTTAAGTAAAATATTTAAATAAAAGTTTTTATTTAAAATATCCCATTTATTTCATTTTTTCACTTGCTGGTAATGATCGAATATTATTTTTGCAATATTTCTCGATATCTGTAATCGTATAAATGTTTTGTTAATTTGTTGACATTTGTCTTTACTATTTAGTGGTAGATGCACGTAATTATATTAAACAAATAATATTAAAAGCTTTAGAAAAAATAACAACTCCAAGTGTTACAAACCAATCCTCTTTATTTTTACAAAACGGAGTAGATGATGCAATAATTGTTGCAATACTTAAGTAACGATGATTCTCGAATTCAATATATTCTTGAAAAATTATTTTTTATGGTTCTTTAGTTTCTATCACGAAGTGACGAGAAAGTAAATAAATTTATTTTGCCAATATTATCATTGTCTGCACTTTAACACTATTCCTTTCCTCGATCTATTTCTCTCATCGACAAACATTACAAATACCATTTAAATCAAACTGGAAATATTTTATTTCACGCTTCAGATTATCGAAAGAAGAATATTTCACTTGTCGAAAAATCTTATCTTAAAATAGTATTCTACTCGAATTACAGAATTTGACAAAATTTTGCCCGGCTCTGTGCACACCATTACTGAGCTCTCTTTGTTATCCTCTCCAACCTCCGTAACTGCAATCATTCACAAGTGTCCAAATACTTGTGAATGCACGTGCACACGCATGTGTACGAACACACGAGAACTCGATGAAGCGCATAAGAGTGAAAGGATCGGATGTGAGAAGCGCGAGAGGGTGGAGACAAGCGGCGCAACAGTCTCGCGACTAGTCGGGGGTGGTGGATAGGAGAGAGCGACGAGTTCTCGGCGGAGAGAAGTTGGCTGGTCGTAAACGGCGGGAGGGAGACAGGTGGCATCAAATTATTGCAAACAATTACGTTTAATGAGAAGGTTAACGCTGCCGGTCGGTGGGTGGCGCGAACGTGGATGCAAATGTGCCGACGCCGAGTAATTAGCAAACAGAGAGTAGTCCTCGGCTGGCATCCTCCTTCGCCTC